AAATAGTTGAAATAACTATTCCTGTAATAAAAATATTAACATATTTAAAGTAAATAAAAAAGGCAATGGATGAAAAACAGCGATAAATATTTAAATTGAATATGAAATCCTTGGACATACTACTTGTTTCTATCAGTGTAGGAAAACATCAATCGAATCAAGCTGCTGAAGGTGGCGATGACTCTGAGGCTTCTTCAAGTTCCGTTGTGGCCGATAAAATGATTTGCGTACAAATTGGTTGGGGCGAAATTCGATTGAGTTGTGGAAATATTCAGCGCTCTTTTGTTAACCGGGCTAACGCGCTAAAGACCAAAACAAGAATGGATTCCGGAACGGCAAAAGGGCAGCAACACTGGGGATAAGGATAGGGATAAAGATAAGGATAAGTATGAGGGAACCGACAGCAGCCAATGCTTCCTAAGTTGGTAAAGAGCTAAAACCGATTTGGTTTGCGGACGCGTAGTTGGAAACTTTGCCCCCGAAAGAAGTTCGAAGAACCCGAAACTCCGAAAAGCTTTTGTGGTTATTGCATTTTTTCCAACTTCTTACTTTTCGTTTTTTTTCAACAATCACTGGTGCTGCCAAATATGCCGGAAATTTTTAATGATTTCCGTTTGCAGTAGTGGTCCGTTCAAAACAAATCGGCGTCAGCAAAAGTCGCATCCCTGGGCATTCATTACATTTCTTAGATCTCCCCATTGCCGAGTCCAAAAATGTCTGGATATTGAAGTCAGACTGGTGTACATAGCAATCGATATGTCATCATTAGTTCTATAGGTCCAGTCCTTCACCAAGTGCCTATGGAACTGGAATGCGAAGTCATCCGTGCCCTTTGATGGTGGCAAATGATGATGAGGTCTAGCAAACAAGGTCAATGGATATAGTTCCAAGAGCTGGCTTCGAATTGCAAGAATATTGCATTGATATTGAAAAAATGCGTGGCTTACATTTACTTTTTAAATATAATAGGTGAATTTTTGTCAACCTACTAAGTATATATAGGTTTTTTTTTATAGTGTCTTATTTAATTATTCTAACAAGCTCACATTTTAGAGGGGTCTAGAGCAAAACAAACTTACATTTTAACCGCAGAGTTTAACTTAGTACTTAAATCACAAACCTAAAACGGATTTTCAAACTTTTAAAACGAATGAAATATGCAAATTTGAAAGACCACCTCCGGTTGGAAAGACCGGAAGTTGTCTCTTAAGTTTATAAATCCAATAAAAATCACATTAGCCCTGCGGTGGAAGTTCGTGTGCAAACAGAAAACTGGCACCCAAAATATGTTTCTTGGGAAAGGGAGAAGCGAGAGGTAAAGGGAAAATTTAGCTAGGCCACTTGAGGCAATATCTGCGGAACTTAATTCCCCCGCCAAGAAATGCTAATGATCGCTTTTGACCAAGAGTTTCAACGGAAGTACTAAGCGAATGGTGAAAAATGCGGCACTAAAATGGCAGCTACCAGAAAATGCTTTTAAGTATTTGAAAATAAGAAAAGTACTCGAATTACAATATCAACAGTTTGAAGAGTTCTCCACTCACTTCCAATTTTTTGGAAGCGCGAATGCTTAGCATCTTGACTTTGAGCCGAATCGTTAAAGTGTTCTATACTAAATTGTTTGGTTGTTATATTTTCTGTATCCTAGACTTAAAAAAAAATGTAAAAGTATTAATTGTTATGCAGACAAGGATTTGTAAAAATTACCTAAACTAGTTAATCCTTATCTTTTTTATTTAAGTATTTTTTTGTAGAGGCAGTTGATTTATATATCTTCATAATCGATTTTATAAATAATTAAAGTATTGGCTAACATTCATTCAATACTTTCGTATTTTTTACGTAATGTATAACAACTTAAAAAACATTTTTATTTTATTACCTTATTGAAGTAAGTAAAATTGCATAAAATAAAATTGTTTTAGTACCATAATAAAGTTGAAAAGAAAGTGGTATGGCTAACAATTATTTTAAATTTTACGAACTGTGAGAACTTTATCAATATTTTTCTTACATTACCTGACTCAAGTTATGTAAAATTACATCAATTAAATGTATTATAATACGCCTTTTACCAATCAGCTAAATATTACCGCATGAAGTGCAATTCTTTCGATTATGCGTGCATTTAAATTTATACATAAGCAGACACGATGGAACATTGCCTCAAACTGGGGCACTTGTCTAGGCGTGAAAGGATGCCAGCTGCTCCTGCGAAGAGTGCCAAAGACCAATTATGCGCACATTTCATGCATAAGAAAATTCAATTCCACGTTCATTTGCACATGCAAATCAAATTTATTTGCGGCAAACACACTCGCCTCCACTTATTCAGCCGGGGACAGGGCCAAAGCCGCCAAGTGGCAGGCGCCATCACTCTGCAAGTAGTTGGCTCTGTCCCTTTGAGAGACCTGCACTCAAAAATATCTCAAATTCGCGAACTTTGATAGCGATGTGGTTGATGGAATTTAATAAAGGATGTGAAAGCTTCGTTTCACTTTTCTCAGTGCGAATCCATCAATTTAAATATGCCTTATACCCACTTTAAAGAAAGTTCGGTAAGAAGGGTTAGTTCTATCTACACTTTAAAAATTTACCAATACTAAGGAAACGAATAGAGAGTATTTTTGCGTCCTTATCTGATTTAAATCGAATAGGTTTTCTTTTATTTATATATTCAGAATTGACAAAGATGATCTTGTATTAAAGAAATTATAATGCAGTTGTACCACCAAGGTTCTTAATGTTCCATTACAAGTTCCACTACATTACAAGTTCTCCCTGAACAACACATTTAATTCTCCCAATATATGTTTGTTTGCTTCAAATGTTTTCGACATCCATCATTTTCCACTTAGGTTAAGAACCCTACATTAAACTCGTATCATTGTGAACAAACAATGCCGGCCAGCTCCAAAATATAAGTAATAAAAACAAATCATTGAAAAGGAACTATCTGCTGAAAAGAGGGTGGTTCTTTTTTATATATACCATGTAAAATAGTTCTCACTGTATCTCCTACCATAGTCAAAGAAATCTACTTGGGGAAGGAGGCGCATTTCGATCCTGGAATGACCAGCTGACTCTCCGTCACGGGACATGCTGACAAGCTGCACAAACAATTGAAGTGAAAGGCATGACATCAGAAAAGAGAGAAGAAATGAGGATAAGCAAAAAAATATAGCCGGGCTGAGTTGGTGATTCCGCTGCAGGCCAAAGTGTATCGGATACAAGGGACATGTGCTGTACTGGGAGTGCTCAGGGGTCAAACGTCAACGCAGGACAAACGAAGCCTGTTTGCTTAACGAGTGAAGCGGGAGATGACCAAAAGTGTAAGCCTTATTAAACTAGTATTAAAATAACTATACTTTCTTTGATGCTAGAAAACAATTTTCAGTTGCAATTTTTGTAGTTTACAGTAGTTTTAGTTTTCAGTCCTAATTATAACATAGAAAGGTAGACAAAATCCAATTGAAATTAATAACAATTTTATTTAAATTTTTTAAATCAGCAATAGCCTAAGAAGGTTCCAAGAAATTAAGGTAAGCATGAACAGTATGTGAGTATATTAATGGGTAGATGGCGCTCGCGTCAACTGGCGCCATCTATGTACATTAAACAAAGCAAATAAGTTCTTCTAATCGGGGCACTCAAATAAGTATAACATTTCCTTTTTATTGAACTATGTATTTTTAAATGTGAATGAAAAGTCGAGTTAAAACAAATTATAGTTTTCTTTGTTAAAATTAGAACGTTCTCCCATTATGCTTAAAATATCCTAATTATCACACCCTGGTATGGCTTAAAATTAGATCACTTTGGAAATAAGCTAAAGACTTGTTCCTCTTATTCTTAAAGCAAAATTGTGCTTGATTTTTTATACTACCATACTAACACAAAAGTGTAATCTACGTATACAGGTTATCCTTGGTCAAACAAAGACATTTAGTGCTCCTGTCAGCGCTTTTCCCCTTCACTCCAACTGCTGCTGCTGCCACAGTTGCTGTTTTATTTATTGTTTGCGCTTATTTGAGTCAATTACGACAAACGGAGATTGTTAATTGTTTTCCTGCTCCTGAGCCACCAGCGACTGCTCAAGTCCAGGACAAACAGTCCGCATCCTGGCCACAGGACCTGGTGCCTTTGGAGGGTTCCCCCACTCGGTGTGTTATTATTTATTCGCTCTGAGATGGCTCTTGTTTTCGCTGGACTATCTGTGCTGTCCCGTCGGTCTGGTCTAGTGTGTTCTGTTCCGCCGCATTTGGCATTTGCTCTCCAGTTGTTTACCCTTGTTTGCTTTTGGCCAATAAACGGGCCATCTCGGTGCCGTCTTTAGTAGTTCTCTTGGGTCGCGTTTAATGGCGCGTTTAACATTTCATTTGGTCCACATTGTTTCTTGTAGACAGATGTGGGCTATGAACTCCCCCCTTTTGCTGTTGACTTGTTGTCGAGTGTCTTGCGTAAACTTTAATTGACTGTCAGATCATCGAGGTAAAGTTTTAATTAATTTTTAGCCCACGGTCGGTAAAAGTGTACTCGTGTGACAGTGACAATGGCAAAAAGTGCTCTCTAAATACTTGAATATTTGGATAAGGATAAGTGGAGCATGGCACTTAAATGTCCTGTCAATTGCTAATAAATCATTAGGTTCCTAAAATAATACTAATAGATAAGGCAGCTCATAGTGCATTTACAATTAAAAAAAATTATTTTACCAACATCAAAATATGCAAAATTTAATTAGCTCATCGTAAGTCCATCTGAAAACCCAGACCTTATAAAAACGGATAGCAATATTAGGAAAACATTTTAGTAGAAAATTTGTAGATCTGGTTGCCCTTTTTAATAACATGGAATCATTTTAAAGTCATGGCATCATATCGTTTTATAATTATGATTATTGTGTTACTGTAATTTATAAACTTATTTGTCCTAGGGAAAATACTCAAAGGTTCAACATTTCAAAGATGTAATCATATTTTCTATTTAATTCATTTTTATTTCAGTTTATTTGTCATAGAGTATTTAATTGTCAAATGAGGATCTCAAAATGTAATGTTTGCTTAACATGTTTGAAAGAATGGGAATACGACAAAACAAAACGAGGTTTGAAATCTGCTTTTCATATTTAAACTATGGAGAACATTTCAATCCAAGCACTAAATGTCAAGTCGAGGGATAGATCTGGAACCTGTAAATTCATCAGTTAATTAGCATTCAAATCATTTAACACTAAGCTTACCTATTTTCCACTTAGCCAGGGAATTCAAATTTTTAGGGATCGGTTCTTTAGGAGCCTCTGTCGGTTTATGTAGACTCTTTTGCCAATCTGGCTTATCTTCTGAGCTCGAATTTGTAATGGAACCTGTTAATAATATCTATAATATATTTCTAAATATGAGATTATACCTAGTCTTACCTATTTTCAATTTATTCACGGTCCTGACAATTTTATCGGTTTTCCTCGGCTTAGTGTCCACCTCAGATGCTTTTTGTTGTGGTTGCTCAGCCACCTGTGACTGCTCAGCCAGCTTTTGAGCGTTTTTTAAGGGGGCCTTTTGACGATCCTTAGCATCTTTTAAGCCCGCCTCATCGAAACTGTTTGCCTCCTTGGAGATTTTCTTACATTTCCAACGCACACTCTGGTTGCTTTGCGGCTTGAAATCGATAGATCCCGTGGAATGATCCGTTTCCATACGCCTAGGTGGGGCACTATAAGATCGCGGGCGTTTCGTCTCCACCATTGCGATGTTGAGGCTCATTAAATTGGCCAGCTTTTGGGCCGTCTGAGGCTCCTTGGCCAATAGTTCCTCCGCAACGCGATCGTTTCGCTTCTTTATGTAGTGCGCCTTGAGGGACTCATTGCTCCTACTGAGCTGGGCAGCTGCCTTCTTCAACTCGAGAGTCCTATTGTGCTGTGGTTTTCGGCCGCTTTCCACCAGCAGGCTCACTGGAGAGTTTTTCGACCACACCAAAGATTCAGTCACCTTTTTGGTTGTTTCGGTAGGAACTTCTTTATCCGTTGTCAAAGGGTGCTGAGCTACGTGAGCATTCCTCGATTGCCGACACATGAAAATAGCCACTAAAAAAGAAATTATAATTATTATTTTTTATTTTCATTATTTTAACAATATACAAAATATGCAATATGCATATGTGATCCCTTCTTAATTGGAATAAATCTTGAAACGTAACTATAAAAGTTATTTTCCTTCATTTAAAACATCGGTCGGCAGTCTCACATTAATTGAGCATAGGGAAAAGCTACCGCCACACACACAGTGTACAACACTTAAGTATAAGCCTTGTACAATAATAAAACCGAAATTCTTTAATATTCTTCTTTAACGAACTATTCATTTAAGAAGGTGGTAACTGAAAAGGATTTACTTACCACTGCGCCAACGATTTAATTGTTTCGAAATGTTTGCAACCCCATCAATTTTATGCAAAGCCATAATGTAACTTAAAATTTTTAACGTATAATTTTTATGTTTTAAACCGGTCGAAGTCTCGTTCCGAATAAAAATAAGATTTAACTGCTCATTTCTTTTGAAATATATAATTACAATGTCAAAGGCAACTTGTTTCAAATTCTTCTGCCTTGTGAATAATAAATAAGAAGTGGTCCTCTACTGAAAGGGTTCAATAATGGGTCCATTAATTAGTACCCTATTAACACCGACTCTCAATACCAACCATTTTGGGTGGGCCGACAATTGTGCAAATCCCCGGGTCTGGTCCCTGCCATTCCTTAACCAACCTTGACTATCATCATCAGTACTGTCCCAGACGTGATTTCCTTGAGGGCCGTGTTGTTCGGAACTCGGAAAACTTTCTCACGCATCCGCTCGCCTTTTTTTTATAGGGAGCCCCCGAGGAAAGTGGGAGGGGCTAGCCGACTTTAAGTGCTGGACCATTCTTGCGGCTTTGATTTTGTTTACCTTGCTACATTTACCATTCAGCGTTCGTGTATCGCTCGTCGCCTAAGCGCATTAAAAGTTTTTTTTTTTACCCAACCTCACCATTCCTTACCTCACTTCCATCCTTGCTTTGTATTCTTTATTTTATGTGCACTTTATCGAAAGCACATCACGTTTTGCACCTGATTTGCTGACAATCCCTGGACATTCTAAACGGAACCCATCAATGCGGAGCTTAAATTCCCAACCTTTCACCCGAGCTGCATACGAAATGCTGGGAAAATAATTGAGATTAATTGTTTTGAAAAGTATTTAAGCTGAGGAAGTTCTCAGCTTTATAACTCCGAAGAAGCTTTAATTGATACGCGTGTGCGCGGTCCATTTTATCACCTAATTAGACCTTTTTTAAGCACTGCCTTTAGTACATTTTTAAATTACTACAATACCATTATTATTGCGTGAGAAAGTTAGTCAGTATTTCGCCAATGTGCCACGTTACTAAAAAGAGTGGTACACTTTCGAGTCCATTAAACACACATTTTTGCTTTGCAACAGAGGGGACAACTCTATTGAACTGCACTCTATAGAGACATGCACATTACCAATTTATTAACTGTTGAATTGGAAGAGAATACACCATTAGCTTTTTTATAGATATACAAACAGCCAAAGACGTCGAGGATATTCCAGTTCTCTGAAATGGTTAAGATTCAAAGCAAGTCGGCTGACTAAGCAGCCAAGTTAAATTGACTTGTCGAAGTCCACATTCTATAAAATGTAGGAAAAACTATATATATCAAATACGTTATACATCATTATAATTATTAAATTTATTTCCCTTATGCAAGAATATTTACTCACAAATAACTTACAATTAGTTTACTAACAGGAAACTTTCTTTCATACATGATCCTAAAACCAACCTATTCAATATTAAAGTAGGTGCCAGATCTCAGGAAAAAAGTTTGAATCAAACACATATTTTTAAGTATATTACAGAAATAAGTTTGTATTTTGTGTTGTTGAAACCCAATAAAATATAACCTATTACTGCATACATACACATCATTTGTAAACTAGAAATAAATTGACATTTCGCTAAGCTGTAACATATTTTACGTAGTGATGTGACCGCGAGATGATTACACTGGGAGAGACGGCCGATTTATTTACCTTGAAGCTGCAATTAAAACCAGTGAATTGATGGGATTTATTCGTATACAACAAACTTACTGTAGTTTGTAATAGCCATGTAGTATTAATATGCTTGATAAGCAAAGGTCTTCAGATTCCTAATTCCAACGTATGGGCAACCTTAGAAGAAAAGTCTTAGTTATTGGCAGCTGATTAGCAAAAACAATACTTACCAGGACTTTGGGTATATGAATAAGTTGTATGTAATGGGTCTTATTTAAAGTTGTGCAGACAAATTGTGCAAACGGTGTACAAATTGGATGTAAATGGTCTTTTTGTATCGTCAAGTCCGCGGAGTGCAAGCAAGCCATTTGTGTTGAAGATCCTTGAAAAAAAAAACGATTTAAAATCAAGTTAAAAAAAAACCAAAAATAGTATTTACATTTTATCCATCATTGGAATTAGGATTTTCACAAAATTTGATGTTTTACATCTTACACAAAAATTTAAATTTGGAAAAATCCAAGACAAAACAAAATAGATGTTGTCTGAACAAAAGGTTCTTTTATAATGTGCCTATATCAACCAAATCTCATAGATCAGCTAAATCAACGCCTACTATGTACTCAAAATTAAAATATGTAGTTCTTGCCGACAATATTTATCTCCAGAAAAAGGAGGCCTTGAAATCTAAATCGAGCCAAATATTTTACGTTGCTGTTCCATCAACACATCTAGATTAGTTGAACATTGAAATTCGAACTCTTCGGACGGAAACGGGACCATATAATCAAAATTAAATTTATATTTTTTAGTGCCAAGCGAGTACCGTAAGATAGATCCTATTTTTGTCATAAGAATTAGAGAATAATCTACCTTTATATAGGACAAAGTAAATCAACATGTGCAGCTTCCCTTGCTATCCTTGTGCCGCCCTGTGTCCCTGCGGAGGAAGTGGACCAAGTGGATTCTACGATCCTTGTTTTGGACCCTACAATGGACCCTTCAACTCTTGGTGTGGGGCAAGTGGTCCAGGCTTCTGGGGAGGTGGATGCTGCTAGTCGTGGTTTGTGAACTGCTAATCGATCTGAGCTCTAGTATCCTTTAATACTTGCTTGCACAAGGAAATCTAAACCGTCAAAGGTAAATTACCCAAATCTTTTCGATCTTTACTTACAATGTGTAATATAGAACAGATCCCTTGCAACTTGAAATGACAAAAAGGACATAAAATTTACGTCACGAAGAGAAGAATGTTTATCGATTAAATTGTTCAAAATATTTGTCTCCTAATTATTGGGGTCGGGTGTACCAAGTTATTGTATAAGAATTGGTTGAGGGAATAACCATTCCCTCCTGAGTGGGCGCTAAAAATTAGGCTTTGGTGGATGCCTCAAACGGGTTTTTAATGGAGTGAACCTAGGAATCATTACAAACTTTAGGAGGTCTTCAAAAACTTTTTTCTAAACGTGTACGTTAGGGCGGTCCAAAAATTAAAATCTTGTTCTCACCCCTTTACACGGTGTGTGTGTGCCAAAAATGTATTCAAAATTTAAAATTTGTTTAGGCCTTGTTAAACGTCCTAAAAGCTTTAAAAACTACTCATACGACATGTATACAAAATTGGCAAATACCGAAATGTTTTTGGAGGGAATACTAAAGTCGGAATTGGACAACGGAATTCTCATCCCAGTCAGGGCCACCTATATGAAAGTTAAGCTGAAACCAATTCGCAGACCCTAAAACGCGTTTTTCAAAAATATTTCGTTTGGTATTCCTCAATGCGCACCTTATAGGCGAATAAGGTGGACCTCCCTAGTTTACATAGGGCGGCTATTAAACTTAAAAATTAACAAATACGAGTTTTACATTCTAAATTTAAAACCAGGAATTGGTTTTTTTCTTGGCGATTTTTGGTTTTAAATTTAAAAAATTACACCGAAAGTGTTTTCTCCATATGTCTGGTGTATTACTTTATTTACGTTTAACTACAAGTTTTAATTTTATGGTTTCCATCGGCTAGAGTTGAAAACCAATTGTTTGGGACTGTCGAACGAGATGGGAATTGAAATTCTTGAAGTTTTCCTCATTTTTTTCTGCTAGCGATCACAAAAAGACCAGTTTGGAAGTTTCTTCACAAGTGAAATAATGTTAGCAGCAACGTCCACCCCAGAATCCAGGTCCACTTGGGCCACACCAGGAATTAAAGGGTCCATTGTAAGGTCCGAAACAGGGGTCGTAAAATCCACTGGGTCCACAGCCGCCACAAGGACACAGAGCGGCGCAAGGATAGCAAGGATATCCGCAGCACATGTTTGTCTGGTCAAATCCTTAAAAGAATTTACAAAAAAGTGTACAATTTATCCAACATGTTTTTTTTATTTTAACCTACGTTTTTCGTCTAACACAAAAATAGGAAATTTAAATCGAAATATATTTTCGACCTCAAACTTTCAACAGCCCAAACGAATCGAGTATCGGTGTACAACTGAATGTTATGTACACATGATGTTATATTGTTAAGGAATTTAATTCCTCAGCCCACTTGTTTTGAATGTAAAGATTCATATTAAGAATCCTTTTCATATCTCAAGCATCAAAAGTTGTAGCCCGCTTAACCCTTTTATATATGTTACTATTATAAAGTCTGGTTGGCGGTGTGGTTCTGGTCGTCTTGCTTTTATTTTGCAGGTCATAACATTTTTGATTACAACATCGTGATATAACATTGTATAAAGGACATCTGCAAAAGACGAGATTTCTGCTGGTACTGCTGATGTCAGCAAACATACGATAGTAGTATATGTTTTTATACCCGATACTCGTAGAGTAAAAGGGTATACTAGATTCGTCGGAAAGTATGTAACAGGCAGAAGGAAGCGTTTCCGACCCCATAAGGTATATATATTCTTGATCAGGATCACTTACCGAGTCGATCTAGCCATGTCCGTCTATCCGTCCGTCCGTCCGTCTGTCCGTCTGTTCGTATGAACGCTGAGATCTCGGAAACTATACAAGCTACAATACTGGGATTAGGCATGCAGATTCCTGAGATTCCTGCGCAGCGCAAGTTTGTTTTAGCAGAGTGCCACGCCCACTCTTACGCCCACAAACCGACCAAGCCTTTGGCGCCCACAATATTCATGCTAGATAAAAAATTTTAACTGAAATGTATTGGTCTCGTCAATACCTATCCATTGATCAAAAAATTTGCCACGCCCACTCTAACGCCCATAACGCTTAAATCTGTCTACCGCCGGTAGGTGGCGCATTTCAATCTCGCTTTGCTGCTTGCATATCTCCATTTCCCTTTGGTCCCATTAGCTGAGCAACGGGTATCTGATAGTCGAGGAACTCGACTATAGCGTTCTTCCTTGTTTGACTTTATAAAGGTTGCAACGAAGAAAGTAAGTATAGTAAATGAGAAACCACTTTTTAGTTAAATTATTCTTACTTATTCCCTCAGTTTCATTTCCTTTGATGAGAAAACATATGGAGAAGTATATAAGTTGCCTTTAAAGTCTATATAACTAAGTTTAAAACCGCTTGAACCGACGGAGCTATTTGAAAAGTCGTAACTTAAAATGATGGAAAGATGGGCGGAAATTAATGTGGATGCATCCATTTACACTGCCAAAAGCTTTGTGCAGGAGACAGCTGAATAAATTAAAAGCTATTAGCCGCCATTTTCGGTGGTTTTTTGTTGACAATACGTATACGCCACATGTGACAGCGACAGCACCTCAGCACTTTCGTCAGACTCCATCCACCACTTGGCCTCCCCTTTGTTTTGCCAACAATTAAGTGCGAAATTGTGCAAATTAGATTTTGCGGGATCACACACTCTTTTAATTACAGCCAACGTAAACTTCTTGACAGTACTCCATATGAATTAATTAGCAATTAAAAGTCTTTTGAGCCGGATGTCTGCCTGCCTCCAAAAAGGAAAGTGATGTATATACATAATTAGGTAACTAAGAGCTGAGTAAAAGTTATACAACCAGCATATTTCTAGGCCACATTGATGCGAGTAAGTGATGTAAGAAGAGTCTCAATTCTTCAAAACTAAGATTTATATCTAAAGATGAAAAAGCCTTTCTAGTAAACTATGATATATTATGCTTAAAGTTTTTCCAAAAATATTATCCAAACACCCAACAAATCTGGTGTTTCCCTAGAACAAAATATATATCCTGTATCTATTTATTGTTTTGTTCCAAAGTGTGATGAATAGAAGGGGAAATTCCTTTTTAAATAATTTTTTTAAGATAACTTTTAAATTTTTGATTTTATATCACCAAAATTGACTTAACCGAGCCTAGTTTAAAATGAATTGTCAACAATATCATAAGATTAAAATATTTATTGGTATAGGCGCTGAGCTAAGATTGATTTGCAGAAACAACAATGGAAATTTTGTGCTTGAGGAATGCCTAGCCCATTGTGCACTTGAAGAGGAGAATGATTGATTTGCCATAATGCCCCATGAGAGCAAAGAAAGCTGCTTTGAGTTTTCTATTTGAGTTTTCTGTTTGAGTTTTGATTCTCCTCCCCGTTCCTGTTGCCCAGTTTTTGGTTTTAAACTGGATTAAGTCAAGATGAGGGGAAATAACTAATTATCAATCAATCATATTGCCTCAAGATTCGCTGAGCTATGCATAAAACAAAAGACAAAATTATACTGGTTAGCCAGATAGCAAGGACTTGGACTCAGCTCAGGCCTTACCTGCAAAGCATTTCCAAATGCTTTTTTAGCTTTTCCACGTTATTTCACCACTAGCTGCGAATTTAAATTTCAGCTGTCAATTAGCATTTATTTGGTTTGTCAGAAAATAAGAGAGCTTTGCATATCAAAGGTCAGATGTGAAGGGTTTAAAAATGTGTCGGTCAAACAACACACTGATAAAAATAGAATAGTTAAAATAATTAGCTGCATATTGAATTTAAAATGTTCTATTAAATATTTGAAATAAATATAAAAACATAATGTTAAAAATTATAAATTGGAATATTTATTTTGAAAACATGTAAGGTAGAAAATATTAATTTGTAATATTTCAATAATTAGTTTCAATATTTTACGAAATTAAAAACAATAATTTCTTATTCAATTCAAATTTCATAATGTATAAATTAACTATAAATGTTAAATTAAATATTTAATATTTCATTGCCACAGTAGTAAATAAAAACGCCCAACGTAAGAAAAACATAATACAAATTTTTAAATTGAATATATATTTTATCAGTGCATGAAAAAGTTTCAAATTGGACGAAAAAAGTGAATCAAAATAATGGTAACTAGCCCTGGGTCGATTTTTCGCACTCATGTTTCATTATATTATGTTATTGTATGTAATATTATTTTAATTAGGAAAGTGTTCAAAAAAAGTTCTTAATCTGAAAGTAGCAGCTGTACAAATTATTGTTTACGGTACTTTTAGTTGTTTTTACATAATCCTAGGAGTAGACGATTATTATAAGCTTAAATACCATGAAACCTATTGGAAATATAATAGTTTATAATAAAATTTAACCGAATAAATATAAACCTTCGTTCCGTTAAGCCCCTGTCAAGAAAGGGGAGACTAATTTAATTTTTCAAACTAAATTTGGCACATAAGAACCCACACGAAATCCGGGAATGAGCCCCGTCTAAGTCAACTAGTCGTTTTGGCCATTTTGTGGGGATACTATACACACAGAACGTGTTTGGAATTTTCCTCCTTTACTGCTTGTGCCTTTCTGATGATGAAATCAAAGCGAGCGAGTAAACGGATGAAATGAATCCCAGATAGGGATTCCCAGAGACGTGTGGTTATAGTAAATTGTTTTAAATTTTTATGGGGAAATGCATAAAGTTTATTGGTCATTAACTGCAGCTTGTAATCCGCAACACTCACGTGGAAAGTTTTAGAAAGTTACAAATACTTGCTCACTTACTTACGCCTTCTTCGGTTGCCAACCAAGCGTTGGATTTTTCCAGCAGGGAAAATCCAGGATGGAGATCTGTGCAAGAGCCGTGCTTAAAGTTCGAGCAAAGTTTTAATTTAAATTGAAATGCGAGTGCAATTGAAGCGAATCGGTTGTAGCTGCCTGCCACCTTGATTGACGCAATGAATGATTGCCAGGAATCGAATCCTGCGGCTGGAGCCTTGGGTTGGAGGCCTTGGAAGAGGTGGGTTCTGCAGAGGACTCTGGAAAAGGCAAGTTTTATGCCTAGGATTTATGTTCCTGACACTTTTGGTGCGGCACCTTCTGTCGATAAATCGCATCTGAAGTTGAAAATGCGACTAGGCGATTCGTTTCATTTGGCTTGTAATGCCAGTGATCGATTACATGCTGTTTCCCATGCATTTCAAGTACGATTAAGTTACTCAGGAATACTTTCTCTATTTGCTTTCAGTTAAAATGCTTAGTTTGGTTTTGTAAAACAAAAAAAAATAGTAATACATTAGATTTGGTCAATTTGCAAAGGGTCGTCAAAGGTAGGTTAGGAATTCTACAAGAAGTTATATCAAACGAATGAAAAAAGACCACGTTTGACCCCATAAAATGCAAATAAAATGTTTTTTATTTTTCAGAAAACTATCATGTATATCTTAGCAGACACTCCCAAAGAGTCTGACTTATCGGGTATAAATGGCATTCTCCTTAGGCAATGGACTAAAGTAGAAACCAGATGGGCAACAAGATCTCTGCACATCCGCATTACCAACATGAATGGATGATCCTATTGTAATGATAGCCGCTGGCCAAACAGCTCGTAATTGCTAGTGACCCAAGTCGACCTTTGACTGAAAGATGCTTTTAGTTGAAGAGGCAGTATTCTGTTTATTGAAATTGCCAATAATGAATGGTTCGGCACAAAATGCAACAAACAATGCAATGGGTTATCTATTAGGCACTTGCTTATTAAATGCAAAGAAAATGTTATGGGTTATAAAGATTAATTTAAGTTTCAATGTAAAAATTGATAAGTAATTGCGTTAGGAATATATGATGTAAATTTAAAAAATATTCGGATTTTAAAGTTACCCATAGAAAATACATATATTTTTTTAAATACGTCAAATACATTTAAACTTCATAAAGATGAATTACGCAGGTCAATTGAAATTTAATGTTAGCCATAATAGGCACCCCAAAAATTCTAAAATATTTTAAGAGTGTCTTAAATACGAATTTCATATTATTTTAATAGTGACAAGACCTTCGCTCTTTTACGTAGTTAATCTAAGTACACTCGAATCATTTCTCAATAATGTCAGCAGCATGAGTTGAACAATTTGCCATACTCACTTTTTGAATGATTTTCATTAAATATTACTTTGTTTACTTATTTAATCGTAGTTTTTTACCCTCAATTATTTTTCCTTTTTTTTCCCCGTACTCCCACTAAGGCCATACATTCTTAATGTGGATTTAAAATGCGTGCTCATGCAATTTCTCACGCAAATCCTTTTATTGCACATTTGGCTTATGCCGGGGGTTTACGTACC